TGCATTCATTTCCAAGCAAGCGCTGATTCGAGACACCAGCTTGCAGCCTGCATGCCACGCGGCTGTGCATTCATTTCCAAGCGGGCGCTGATTCAACTGGCAGCTTGCAGCCTGGATGCCACGCGGCTGTGCATTCATTTGAATCAATTGACCAGCTTGCAGATGGCCACGTGGCTGTGTTTTTTTTTTCCTGCTGCCGTTGGCGTCAGTGGCTTTCCCACTGGCCTCCTACGTCCTAAGGCCTACAGGCTGCTACGGCCGGAGCACATGGTCTAGCTCCGGGGCCGGAAGCTGGCTCGCGTGCGAGGGCGCGGGCACGGGCTTCCGAGTGCCGTGCTGCTCACTGCTTGCTGCACCGCTACAGCCCGAGTCGCCCAGGCGGAAGTGGCTGCGGCTCGCAATGCCGGCGGGGCCCGTTGGGCTCGAACCCGCACCACGACTTTGATGAGCTGCCGCGCTGCTTCGTTCCAGCGCCCAAGTCAAGACGGCGTCTGTCGTCTGGCGCAACACCGGGAGAGTGGTGGCGCAGAGCCACTGCTGCGGGACCACCTGGCCATCTGCCCCGACGGCTTCGTGCGCAACTCTCACCTACGCCCGTTCGACGATCTTGGCTCGCCGAGCCAAGAGCCCAGTGCGAGGGCAGGCCAAGGCATGGTCGCCGAAGACGTCGACGAGCCCGCCGCATCCGGGAGAGGGGCCGCACCGATTTAGACGGAGAGGGAGTGGGAGGCGCACACGGCGGACCGGGATAGCGGTTAACCAGGCACCCGCGTGCGGCCCAGCTTGAGAGCGCAAGAGCACGCAGGCGCTGGGCGGCCGGGCGGCATGTCTGGTAGCAACGTGCGCTCGCGGAAGTGTAGGTTGCGAGTACGCAACGCACTATGCTGCCAGCATGCGGCCAGTCGCCGAGACCCCTGTCAGTCGCCACTGGTGGGCGGTCGCCATCCGCGATTGCTCGCCAGGGCGGGCACTCCTGCCAGCCTGCAGCTTGAAGGATGTTGCGTGCCACCACTGCACTACGGAGGCAAGTCGCTTCTGCGTCCCTTCCCTCCAGTTGGCGGACGCATGCCTCGGCCCCGCCGCGTGGCATCCCGGCTGCAAGCTGGCCCATTTGGAAATGAGTTCACAGCCTCAAGGCTTCCCAGTTGCAAGCTAGTCACTTGAATCAGCGCCCGCTGGGATAACAGTGCACAGCCGCGTGGCAACCCTGCTGCACGCTGGTCACTTGAATCAGCGCCTGCCTGGAGGTAATGCACTTCGGCATGGCATCCCAGCTGCAAGCTGGTCACTCGAATCATCGCTCGCTTTGAAATGAAAGCATAGCTGCATGGCATCCCAGCTGCAAGCTGGTAGCTGCATCCCGGCGGCTGTGCATTCATATCCAAGCGGGCGCTGATTCAAGTGACCCCCTTGCAACCAGGATGCCATGGGGCTGTGAATACATTTCCAAGTGGGTGCTGATGCAAGTGACCAGCTTGCAGCCCGGATGCCACGCGGTTGTGCATTCATCTCCAAGTGACCGGCTTGCAGCCGGGATGGCATGCAGCATCTGCGTTCATTTCCAAGCGGGTGCTGGTTCAAGTGACCAGCTTGCAGCTGGGACATTCATTTCCAAGGGGGCGCTGATGCAAGTGACCAGCTGGCAACCGGGATGCCACGCGGCTGTGCATGCATTTTCAAGCGAACGCTGATTGAAGTGACCAGCTTGCATCCAGGATGCAGTGACCAGCTTGCTGCCAGGATGCCATGTAGCTGCGCATTCATTTCCAAGCGGGCGCTGATTCGAGCTACCAGCTTGCAGCCGGGATGCCACGCGGCTGTGCCTTCATTTCCAAGGGATTTCAGGTGACCAGCTTGCAGCCGGGATGCCATGCAGCTGTGCATTATTCCAAGCGAGCGCTGATTCAAGTGACCTGCTTGCAGCCGGGATGCCACGCGGCTGTGCATTCATTTTGAAGCGGGTGCTGATTCAAGACCAGCTTCCAACCGGGAAGCCATGAAGTGACCAGCTTGCAGCCGGGATGCTACGCGGCTGTGCATTCATTTCCCAGCGGGCGCTCATTCAAGTGACCTTGTGCATTCATTTCCAAGCGGGCACGGATTCAAGTGAGCCAAGAAAGGTGACGAGTTTGCTGCCGGGGATGCCACGGGGCTGCGCAGTCTGGTTTGCAACACACATTTATGCATTCATTTTCCAAACAAGTGTTGATTCAAACGAAGAGCTTGCAGACGGGATGCCACGCGGCTGTGCATTCATTTCCAAGCGGACGCTGATTCAAGTTAAACAGTGACCAGCTTGCAACCGGGATGCCACGCGGCTGTGCATTCATGTCAGATTCAAGTGACCAGCTTGCAGCCGGGATGCCACGTGGCTGCGCATTCATTTCCGAGCGGGCGCTGATTTACGCGGCCAAGCTGAGCCGTGATGACCATGCATTCATTACCACGCGTACTGAGTCAATCGACGAGCTCGAAGACGGGTTACCAGGCGACTGTGCATTGATTTCCAAACGAACGCCAATTCAGGTGATTAGCTTCCAGCCGAGATGCCATGTGGCGGTGCTTTCCTTACTAAGCAAGTGTTGATTCAACAGATCAATCTGACCGCCGCTGGTAGCAGTGAGCCAGCTTGGGTCGGCAAGTGGTGCCTCCCTCCGGACGGCCAAGGACTCAACGTGCTGGGTTCCCCCCTTAGTCACGAAGTCTTCGTCGCGCGCCAACTCCAGCGGAAGCGCGCTGACCAGGACCGGCTCTTGGACCGCATCACCACCTTTGATCTGCAAGCCGCCTGGCTGCTCCTCCAGAGCCGCGCCCGCGCGCAAACTATTGCTGCGCATCTTGCCGCCGCACCTCACAGCTAACTATGCTGCTTGCGCATGATGCCTCCATCGCCCGCTGTTTAGCCGCGCTGCTCGAGCAGCCCGCCGCCCACCTGGCCCAACCGTTTGGAGGGCTCGGCCTCCGCTCCGCAGTTGCTGACAGCCATGCTGCGCATTTTGCCTCATGGCAGGACACGCTGCCCGTTATCGGCGCGAGCGCCTGCAGCCGCAGAACGACTCCTTCAAGCCTTGCAAGGGGAGGCTCCTCTCCCTTCTACTGCCGCCGCAGTCGCGGTGCAAGCGCGACTGCGCCAGGCCGGCTACGACGCCCCCGGTTGGGATACCCAAGGCGCTGGCCCGCCTGCACCCGACACGACCTGGTGAAGACTCCGGCCCGTGGCCGTTCAAATGCTGGCAGTGACTCGCAGCCCGAGCCTGCGATGAGCGCGCGTTCGAGACGCACCCCTTCTGAACTTTCCCTTGCGTCCCGTGCGTTGCTGCTCTCGCAAGCAGGACCCTTGGCTGATTCGGGTGACCTGTTGCAGCCGGGATGGCATGCGTCTGTGAATTGATTACCAACCAAGTACCGATTCAAACGACCAGTTTGAACCCCGGTTGACGCGGCTTGTGTTTTCTTCCACGCAGGCGTTGAGTCAAGTGGCCAATCTGCATAGTGCTCGGGAATATGGCACAGACTCGGCTCGAGTGCACGGGGGCATGATAGGGTCATCATGCCGGCGTTTTGTCACAGGCGCATCGCAGCTCGACATCGCTAGACAGGCCAGCATGCAGCATGGTGACGGGTGTGTGTGTGTGTGTGAGTGTGAGTGAACACGGGACCGAGCGTCCCCTGGAAGCCAGACTTAGCCGGACACAACTGCTGAGGGATAAAGGTGTTCGGAAAAGAAAGTGTGTGGCAACTCGACATTCGACACCTACATGCCTTTAAAAGCCTCGCGCGCGTTCGCAGCATTCGAGTGCTTAGGCTTTCAAGCCGGTCGTTTGAATCAAAGCTCGCGCGGAAATGCATGCACATCCGTGTGCACCCGACTTCAAGATTACCATTTTTCCACCCACCCACCCACCCACCCACCCACCCACCAACACACACACACACACCCCGCGTTTCCGACCCGGCTTGTACCCCGGCTTCAAGCTGGTTGTTTGAATCGGCAGCTTGCACATGAATGCACAACCCACATGGCATCCCGGCTTCAAGCTCACGTGCACAGCCGTGTACCCGGCTTCAGAATCAAGTCGGGTTGCCGGTTGCGCATTCATTTCCACATGCGTGACGATTTCAAACGACCAACTTGAAGCCCGCACGGCTGGGCATGCATCTCCAAGCATGCGCTGATTCAAGTGACGAATTCGCACCGGCCTTCTGGCTGGACGTGCCCAGGTCGTCGAACGGGCGTGGATGCGCACAGAAGGCCAAGTCGTGCCGCAGCAATGGCTGGCGCACACCACGGTCACCACGGCCCCGGGAGTCGATCCACAGGACCGACGCCGCTTGGACATTGCGGTCTACCGCGCGCATGGACTTGCCAGCCGTGCGGCCAGTCGCCGAGAGTTGCTTCATTGTGTTTGCGGCGGCCGAGCACCCGCAATCAGGTCTGGGCCCAGCCCTCGTCGAGGAGGAAAGCGCGCGCCTCCAGTTGCCTTCAGGCAGGAGACGCGGGCCTGTGGTTCCGCGAGAGCTTCGGTGCATGTAGCCGCGAAGCCGGGCTGGCGCGTGTGCAACACCAAAAGGACGTGCCCATGCGGCCCAGTACGCTGTCGGAGCCGCTCGGCGGAAGTCCAGCCCAAGCCGCCCAATGCTGCTGCACGGCATCCCGGCTTTTGAATCGCGTGATGAATCAAGTTGAGCCAAAGTTTCCTGCCGCTGCGGCGCCGTGACGGCGAAATCTAACGTTGCAAATGGCCACGTGCTTCGAGTACCCGCGTGACGCCGTGCGAATCATGGGTCACTCGCCAGCATCCTGGCACCATACTGCAGTATCATGAGGCAGGGACGACAGACGGTGGATCACATGCATGCACGGTTTTGCAGGGAGTTGCGAACTTCCTTCCGGAAAGGTGGGCCGCCACCGAGCTTCGCTGTGGATTCAATACGAAACTGTTTTGGTTCCGGAATGCTGGAATGCGACGGACGTGGGCGGACTTCGCGTGCGCCATACTTCATCTCGCGCTCGAGCGTCTGAACCCTTTGCCCTGCCCTGGCGACGTGCTGCAGGTTTCCAGAGCTCTCGTGCCACGCCGTGAGCTCGGCGCTGCAAGGCTTCGTTTGGGGCTTCGTGCAAAAGATCCGCCAAAAACCAGCTCCGAGCTCTCTGCGCCATGGCGGGGCGCCTGCTTCATGAAGAGGTTCATGGCTGTCTGGGCACCGAAGAAGGAAACCAGCAAACCTTCAAGGCACAGGCAGATTTCTCATCGAAGCTCTGAGAAAGTCCAACCCACTCTCGCTGCCTGGCCTGCGGATTGCGACCGCGGATTCTGCTGCAAAATCGCACCTGGGCATTGTGGGAAGGCACTGCCCCCACTGACACCAGCGAGGAGGATTGCATGTGCAGCAGTTGTGTGTCTGGCTTCTCTGGCGGAGGCGTGCCTGCAGAAAGTGCAAGGATAGGAACACACAATGTCTCGAAGATTTCCGGCGAAATGAAGATCATGTCCTTTCTTCCCAAACTTGTACCGATGGCTCAGGCGCGATCATCCACTGAAAGCTGCATGCATCGCATGTCGCAGCTCCTGCAGCCTATGGTTCAACGCCGTCGTATTCGCATAATGCCCGGCTGTCAAATTGAAATGCCTTGGTCCAATACCCTGCTGGGTGGCCCTCCGTGACATGCGAGAACGTGTCGCTGCAGGCAACAACCGGCAAGAAGAACACAACACACACACACACACGCACACACACAGACACACACACACCCTCACCCACCCACCCACCCACC